ACTGTCCTAAGAACCTGGAGGGGAGGCAGGGCAGGGGTGAGACCCCGCCCTCCCGGAACCTGGTCCCACGTACCCCCACTCCACAGCCCCTCCAGTCTCAAGGCACTTCTGGGACTCAGACGGGGAGGCCTGGGCTGTGACCCCCAACGTGACCTGCCGGACACACACTTGGGGGCAGGGACGGTCCCCCCCAGGGAGCACAGAACTCCTGTCTGGGACCGGTAGAGGACACAGAGGGCCCCAACCCCTCCTCAGACCTTCCCGACGTCTGACCGCCGCCTCCCCCAACCACCAGCAGCAGCAGGGCCCTCCTCCCCCACCAGCTCTCCCCTCTGGGGCCCCTCAGCGCCATGGAGACCCGCAGGCGGGGCTAAGTCACCCCTCTCCAACCCAGGGCCCCCTCGCACCTGGCTCTGGCAGTGTTTTCTGGCCAGAGGCCCCCACTTCCCTGGTTTGTGCTCCTTTCCGCCGCCTTTTCCGAACTGTGAAGAAACAACTCTCCGCCCCAGCTCCCGCTCCTGCCCTGGTCTGGGTGGGGAACTGAAGTTCTAGCCCATCCCCAGAAGAAGCTAGCCTTCTGGCTGTTGGGGTGGACAGGTCGTGTGCCCTGCGGGGGTCCATGCAAGCAGGACTACCTGGCTCCAGCCCGTCCTCCCACCTGAGATCAGACCCAGGCTGAACTGCATCCCCACCGCCACCCGTCTGCTGGGTGCTCCTCCGGCCACCCCCACACCAGGGAGTGTAGGAAGAGACCTGGCACCCACCCCCCCCCACAGAGAGGTCCGTGCCAGGTGGGCTTCTTCAGGCAGAGACACCCTTAAGCTGGAGTCGGGGCCAGAGGTGTCACCTGGACTTAGGGAAGCATCTAGCACGTGGGGGAAGGTGAGGCTGAACCCGCTTCACGCCCACCCTGACTCACAGGCCTCCACTGCAGTCCTTTCTCACCCTCCCTCAGCACCCCTTCCCTCTCCCGTCCCTCCAGTTAAACGGATGACCAAAGACCTTCTTATGCCAGAAGCAAAAACCAAAACTTTTTGTTGGCTTTTTCCTTTGTCGCCTTCCCAGCACCTGCTCTCCCTGGCCCCAGGCTGGAAGCCCTCCCTCCACTTAAGTTATTGTTTTAAACCAAAGTTTACAGTGTCTGTTGGTGGCCAAGACCCTCTCCCTCCACCCCCCTCCACCCCACCCCGAGGACCCTGGGGCTCCGTGGAATTGGGGTCCTACCCGCCTCCCCTGTGCTCCTGCCCAGCCCGGGGGGAAGGAGAGACTGAGGGGAGGAGGTGGGCTCTCATGCCCTGGGACTGCACGAAGCCCTCCACCCAACCCTGGGCTGCTTCCAGGGGAGCTCTCCAGACCCCTCACTAGGACCAAGTCCCCTGTCACGCTGGGAGTGTGGATTCCAGCAAAAGAGCTGGAAAAAAGTGAGACTCTCCACAGACCCCCTATGGGGGACCCCAACTTAAGGCCAAGGGCTGGGGGTGTGGGATGCTCGTAACCCCCCCAGCCTGGCCCTTTTGCTGAGAAGACTCCTTGGATATTTCCCAAGAAACCCCACATACGCCCCTCACAAGCCGCCCCTTCTGAGAGGCAGGGGGCTCTCTGCCCCCTCCCCCATGTACTCCCCACCTGTGTTACGTTTGACCAGCACAGAAATATTAAACGTCCTCTATTCACCGGGCCCTGTGTGTGTCACCAAGGTGCGGGGGGGGGGGGGGGCACAAAAACAGAGATGACTCCACCCCGGGAGCCTGGGGCAGTGGAGGCTCACGTGAAGTGGTTCCTGTGAGTGCGTGGATGGGCTGAGTGGGCATGCAGAGGTTAGGCATGTGCTACAGGTTTGTATCCAGGGCCTTCCTCCAGCTCCCCTGTTCACCTGTCCCCTCTCTGGTCTAGGGCTCTCCAGCTTCTGTTTCTTCCAGAGTCAGTCCCTTGCTCTGGAGTTTGAAATCCATGTTCCTGCCACAATGTTCTCAGCAAGGCAGTCAGTTTGCTCCAGGGGTGGAAGGGACTGCTGCTTTAAGGCTCTTGTGGCTGCCGTCCTTAGGGACAGCCACCCCATGCCCAGATGCCCTTCTGGGCTTGTCATCTATGCCTTCACAGGGGCTACTTGGTTGGGCATGTGTGCGGTCACACCCTGCCAGGATGGCATCCTGACACAGCAGGGCTGTTAGCAAATGCACACACATCTGTGTGTCATGCATGTGCTGTGACAGTGTTAGTGGACTAGGGATCGGAAACAGGATTATTCAAACCGTGCAGAGGATCATGGATGGCAGGAAGGAAAGAGGGGAGCCAAGCTGTTAATGGAAAGATGGATCCCGATACCTCCGCAGCCCACACGCCTCACCCCATGTAAGGCCTGGTCCCCTCCTGCGGCTCCTCCTCAACAGGGAGCCCCTCCTGCCTTCTCAGCCCCCGGTGCCCATTCCCAAGGCCTTGGCGGCCTCGAGGCTTGTCTGCCAGTCCCCCACTTCCATCTTGTGGTTCCCTTCCAGACACTCTCTCATCAAGGGCAGCTAGGGGCCCAGGAAGGAGTGTGTGTATTGGGGAGGCGTTGAGACCGCAGCAGAACTGGAATCAATCATCCCACAAATCACCCAGCTGTTGGAACTTTCCAAAAGCCAAACTGGGGGTTGAGGACAGGAAGGGAGGGTAGGACCTGGAGACTGCGCCTGCTGACTTCTCTCAGGCCTGTCTTTTGTCCTTTCTACCATCATCTATTTTTGTCTCTCACTCCCTCTATCCCCTCTCTGTCTTGCCCCATCCACTCTGCTCCCCTTACCTCCCCCATCCTTTCGCAGAGCCAGGGTGAATCCCCTTCCCCCCCTGCACTGTGGTACCTTGGGAGGGGAGATCAGCATGGGGTCTCAGTCTCCCAACCCGACACTATGAAGAGGTAGCACTGCTGTGTTCTGTAATCAGCCATCCACGGAGACTACCAGGCCAGGCCAATAGGACCAACATTCTCTACACTGTCATAAAGCAGCCACCTATGGTTTTGCTGCAGCCACTTCCTCTTCGCCTTCCCCTCCCAGCCTGCATGCCCCCAGAGAATCTGGAGGTGTTGACTGCCAGACCCCTGGTCCCCTTACTCCACCCCCTAGAAGAATAATCTGTCCGGCGGCTTGGCCTCAGGGCATTCTTCCTATACCACACTCTGAAGGGACAAGATGCACCCAGCCTCACTCGGGACAGTCCTTCCAGCTGCCTAACTTGATCTCGCTTTGCTAGAGTCCTCTTCCGCTTAATCCTCCTGCAGGGATATGGTAAATGTCTGGTCAGGGCATTTGCAGGTGGGGTGAAGCTCTGCCTCGGGTGTTGGCAGAGGAGAAGGTCTTGTAGGATACGAAGCAGGAGGCTGCCATGAACCATCACCTTCTGAGTCCTTGGGGCTGACAGTCTCAATTCATTTTCTTACTGATCTGGCGGATCCCACGTGGGGGCCCTTCCCTTCCCCCACCCATTATTACCCTCTTCCGATTAAGAACCAACTCCACCTCCACTCCCACCCTAAGCCGACCCCCACCCTCAGGGCGCCCTGTTGCTGCGAGCTCACTCTCTCCTAGCTGTGATGTCCCGGGGAGGGGGGGGTCATCTGTGCCACTTGTCCTGGCCTTGGCGTTTCCGTGCCCTTGTGGGGGAAGCTACCTTTGGAATCTGTTCTCAGGCTAGCAAAGACGGGAAATACTCCAAGCTGAGCATTTTGAGGATGGGATGGGCAGAAATGCCCCTGTTTCCCCTACCATTAACTCGCCACCCTGCTGGAGGCCTTTCGCCAATGGCCAGCAGAGGGCACTTTAGACAAAGCCAACCTGCTCCTTTGGACAGACTTGCCTGACTGAGGAGGGTGCAATACAACTTCCTGTGGGAACTTCGGCCCTGGGCACAACCAAGGGCTCAGTAAATATTTTTAGTAGTAATAATGATCAACACTGGAGGAGCTCTTATTCTGCGCCAGGGACTATTCTGGAAGCTTTCTATTTTATGTAATCCTCACAACAAGCCTGAGTCAGATACTATTATTCCCATTTTACAGATGTGGAAACTGAGCGAATTAGAGATGAGCAGATAAAGCATTAAGGAATCTGTAGAGTCCAGTGGAGAAAAGGAAGAAGGTAGCTCTGTGTCTTAGTCCCAGCTTTCTAGTGCCACTATTTACTTTGGCATTCCCTCTCCAACACACACACTGCTTCCTTGGAGACTCTCAGTGGGGAAACGGGGGTACAGAGTGCCTCAGCCAGGAGCTAGGCACTGGCTTCAGAGGTCCCCAGCTGCCATTCTTCTCTAGGCAGAAAGGGGTAAATCAGTCTTGGAACGGTCACTGAAGGACAGAGTGAATCAGAGAACGAAGGCTAAATCACCCTGTAAAAATAATCAAATAAGGGTCCTTCTGATAAAACAGCAAGTCACAGCAGTGAAGACAAAGAGGCCCTTGTCTGAGGTGGGGAATTTAAAATGAACCCCGCCCCATGCACTCACACAAGCATATACCTTCACACTTACACATGCTGCGACTCAGATATGTTTGCATCGAGAAGTCCCCTCCATCTTTAATCACTATTAGGTGACATCCAGGGCAGAAACA